TCAATTTTTTCAAAATCTAGAGCATAGCACTTGAATACGAGTCTGACTCACTGACAGTAGACTTAGAGAGACAGAGCGGCCCTGCCAGGTCAAAACAAAGCAGTGGTTCGGCATGAACACGGGCTTCCGGCAGCTGATCAAATCCTGGACAGTGCAATCTGAGGCTATTGCTGCTTTGCACGCGTACCTCCAACAGAACCCAGAAGCCGAGGACCGGTGGCGATACAAGCTGTTCTATTTTTCTTGATGGTTTGCAACTTGAACCGCTGCTGCCAGAGTCCAGACTCACGCTGTTCAGACCTCATCAACCGTTTTTATCCCCATGAATGAACAGGTAACAAAAAAAATATGTCCACTTCCGGCAACCAACATTGTATGACTCTGTCGATGTCTGTAGTTAGTTGTCATTTTACGAGCCGACCTGTCTGACTGTCTGTCTGTCTGAAATTCAATATTAGTTGCCTCAACTCATCAGATCATCAGATCGATAATTAAGATTTTGAATAATAGTGACAGTGGTCACAGACAGACAGACATCAGTCTGTCAGACAGTCAGACATACAAACATACATACAAACAAACAATCTGACGCGATTTCGGTGACACTGTCATTGTGCCAGGATGACGCTGGTGCTGCAGGCGATGATGCTCCCCGTGAATCTGAGATCAAGACAAAGTCAGAATTCTACAAGGTGTTTGGTCAAGCCGGTCCAACCAAGATGGTTCATCAGTTTATGCAGGACAGAACGCTTCAACTGCATGCGATTGTGTTGACAGAAGTTGCGCTCCCTTTAGAAGCAAACTACTATGAAGAGTTGAGGCAAACGGCTGAGGGGATTGAAGCGCAGAAAGCTTTGGCAGCTGGCAGAGCCAACTTTGATTGGTTGCAGACCATTTTTGACACCTTGGAGGTGCCCACGCAGAAGGCCTTCATGAGCAGACTTGGCTTGACTAAGCCTTTGCAGCCGCCACTGGACTATGCTTTTGCAGAATCGGATTTGGAATGGGCAAAGGCCGAGATGGACATAGTCAACCTGGCACATACATTTGCTTTCCACTTAGCGTCACACGTGTGTTGGGCAAATATGACATTCTCAGAGGCTCTTCCTCACGCAGCTGCAGTGTATTTGCACAACTGCCCCGATGTTCGCAAACACCGGGTTGGCAAACTATCGCAAATGATTGAATGCTTGCTGTCTGTTGAACAGCAGGTGATCATACAAAACAAGTCTGACACGACTTTAGCCGAGTGCTTAAGGGATGTTGGCTTTCATCTACATCAGTTGGCTCGCTACACCTTGGTCCTGGCTTCCCAGAGTGGATACGACCCAAATTGCCCTCTCATGATGGAGCTGATGGAATTGCTGTATGCTGGGTCAGGAACAACAAAGGAGTTGCTTGAATCCACCTTTGCATTCTTGCATCGAAAAGTTCAGCAACACACGGCAGGAAAACGAATGGCAGACGAGACAAAGTACGCCTACGCTGCTCTCTCTCCTTATCCGAAGGCTGGTGGAGTTGGTGTAATTCGACCATCTGCTGAAGACTTTGATTTTGTACTCTCAGAACACGGGGCGGATAGCCGCATGTGGGCCAGCAAGCATTTGTTCCAGCCTCATACCACCCCAATGCCTGATGATGGAACAAAAATCAAGCCATCTGACATTTTTGAGAGCCGCGATGAATGGAAGCCTTCGGGGTCGCTTTCACACCAGACGACAGTTGCAGCACTGCGTTATTTGATGGCTGACCGCGTGAACTTGTGGGCCAACTCCGACAATGCCTGGATAGGCCCAAATGCCCAAATTAAGGTTTGATTATCAGAGATCGTTTATTAGTTCTTTAGTAGGTAAACTATAAGCTGTAAATATTTGTTAGTTTGTTTAATTATTGCTAAATCAATACAGTTTTTGTTGCCGCGTAAGTAGGTAAGGACTGACTGACTGTCGTCATTTGTCCGCCAGGCAGCTTCTTCAAGACTGGAGCAGTGTTCAGAGAGGTTAGCAGCGGCGAATACTACTTGTCTTTGGGATTCAGGAAATGGTGCGCTCTGGGACTTCGAATGCATGTGTACAACGTGGGCGAGCAGGCCTGACTGTCTGACTGACTGTGACTGACTGTCAGACCACTCAGTCAGTACATGTCAGTACTATAAATACTACAGTACAGTCATTTCAGAAATTGTATTTATAACGACCTGATTAATAGAATAATATGCAGGAATCCTCTCACATATTATTGTAAAATGTCTGGGAGCTGCGTCGTCATCAGACAAATTATGTCACAATTTAATGCATCTGAATTCAAAAACATTCAGAATTCAGAAACCCTATTATAACCCACTCACCTGGCAAGCAGTGACACTTGATCTTATGAATGAGTCTCACTCCCTGCAACTCACTGAATGACCTCATTTTGGTTTCTTGCCCGTGTCTTAGAGTCGTAATTTGATAAAGTTGGAGGTTCTCTTGAGCAGTGTGTAATTTCAACTGGGGGTAACGGACCTAACATTGCCATAAGAATCTGACCAGACTTCTCTAGCTAATACATATTATGTTTTATTTGTAACTATTGAATTGTTGTCAAACTGTTTGTTGCGCATACATTCATCGGTTTTTGGGACTTGAACTCAGTGTCAGTCAGAGATTGGCTGACTGTTTGTTTGTTTGTCTGTTTGTGTTGACTCATCGACAACGCCGCCGTAGTCGTGTTACTGAACTGCTGTTAGATTATTTAATTCTGCAGTCCATGTCGTTCTACGCTTATTACTGATTCAATTCCAGCAGGCGTTCCTCGACTTTGACTCAATCTCCGAGCCACGGACTATGACCAACTTCATCCTGAACCCCGACAACTCAAATTGGAGAATTGTAAAAATCAGAAGACTGCTGCCAGCATGTGTGAGTCAAGCTCACGAAAGTACATGGTCTCCCATTGAACTTGTGGACGCAGTGGGCGAGTGTGTCATCAAAGCGGCGGTGTGGGAAGGCTGCTTCATCAGAATGGATCACCTCAGGCAACTATGTGGGTCGTGGAGGTTGGAGCTGAACTCAAGGAAACTGATCCTTGCGAAGAACCTGGTAGAACATTTGTTCCCAGACGCATCCGAAAAGGAGAAGGCATTCATGATTCGCAAGATACAGTACCCAGGCAACCCGAGGCTTGGCACAGAAGCTGCGAAGGTGCTGGAGTTGGTTGCAGCTATGGATGTGGAAAATGCGCAGGAGTGGTCTAAAATCAAAGCCTTAGCCAGACAGAAGATACAGAGATGAAGCAACGTGCTGCGAAGGAGGCGGTGGATGAGCTCAAGCGTGGCGCCGCGCCTCCTGATGCAAATCCTGCAGCTGGCAGCAAGCGGAAGAGCAGCGGAGGTGCTGCCAGAGGACCAGACACCGCACCGAGAAAGGCTGCCAGGACTCCTCCGACATTGAAGTCCCCCATTCACGTAAAGTTGCAAGCGGTGAATGTACAAATCACTCGTGATCCGGACTCCTACGGTTACAGGGCATTGTTCAACGCTGGCCGCTTGTTCAATTAATTCAGTAAAAAGTTTAAATTCTTTGTTCGTGCATCATTGTTTGGAGTGTGAATTCATCCAACTGACAATAGTAAGCCACCCTTAATGATAATATATGATACAATAGTAAAATAAATAATATTCATAAATTGTGAATTCGGAGCTCTACTCGTTGAAGGCTCCCTGCCATCAGGTATTGGTGTTGTATCACTCGTTGTCATCAGTGAGTCTCTCTGTCGCTATCTCTGTTGTGTCTGTCTGTCTGTCTTGTCAGACTGTGGGAAACTTTTATGTTACACTGACTCGAACGACGTTGACCAAACACCAAAACCAGGAGAAGGCTCCAAGTCGTGCCAAAGGAAGTGGAAGACGCACCAGAATCCTACAGAATACGATGCGCTCTATACTGTGCTCAAGTGGGTGCATGATCGCTGGAACATCCTTCATCCCGATGACCAACTTTCAATGTTCCTTGGACATGTGATCCCAATTTTCTTTAATGACCAGGCTTTTAATTTTATATCCCGAATTAATCACATTTGTTACAACTATTTCTTATATACACTGGAAATGTGGACTCGGAGATGCAGAAGATCTTACAGACCACATATCGCATCAGGCCAGATGCAGCAAAGATGCAGGAATTCGTGGACGCTGCTTCCGTCGCGGTCCCTGCCGCGGCCCCTGCCGCGGCCGCTGATGGTGCTGATGCAGAGCCGGCGCCGGCAGCTGCAGCTGCTGCTGCCGTGCCGGACAATGATCCGGATGTCGACGCAGCGTGAGGGAAAGAAGTGCTGGAACGTTTATCTATTCATTCGGTCGGTCCGGACGAATTATTTGGATTTACAATCTGAAAGTATTGAGAGGTAACAAACCAATCTTTATCAAGAACATGGTGCCCAAAGCAATGATGCCACTACCTTTTCCCTTTGATATTGGTCTGGAAGCATGCATGCTGGGTAGTGTGTTCAAACCCGTGTCTGATTGATCATGATTGATCATCCTCCGGAGCCACGATTGAATGACAGAATCACGCAGTCCATTCGGACATTCCATCATATTGCAAGAATCATATATTCATCTTATTTTTTGGGAAAGCCTTATTTAAGGCTTACTTTCAAGTTATTTTCAGGAGTCAGAAATAAGCCTTTAATAAGGCTTATTAAGGTACTATTAAGGGATAGGAAAGCTTATATGGTGAGGTGGCTTCATACCTTCTAGGGGGGAGGGGTTCAGGGGGGGGGGGTATGTTCTTTGTGATATAGTTACTATTACGAATTACTTGCTTTTTTGTTACTAGTAGTAAGGCACCTGTTACTACTAGCGTGGCACCTGTTACTACTAGCGTGGCACCTGTTACTACTAGCGTGGCACCTGTTACTACTAGCGTGGCACCTGTTACTAGTAGTAACAAGAAGCTAATTATTTACATAGAATGTTTGTAGCGAATCGCAAACAAGTCGCACACCGTTCAAAGCGTAAGGATACTCTGCAGCATGTGCGCCTACTGTGCCTTCGGTTGGCTGGCAGAGGCCGAGACACGGCTTGACCGGAAAGAAAGAAAGGAAATCAAAAACTAGTGCAGAATAGTTTTTAGTTTTTTGAAGAAGAAAAACGAAAGGGAACGGACATGCGTGCCTTGAGGTCCAAGGCTTCGTGCAGTTTGAGGGCGAGGGAGTTGGAACGGTCCGGCAAAACGGGAGAAAGGTCACCAAAGCCTAAGCAGTAACAAGTGCCTTACTAGTAACAATGTTTGCTATTAATGTAAATTGAATTCTGTTACTAGTAGCGTGGCACGTTCGTTGGAAGGGTCTTCCGAGGCCTGGAAATGGCAAGAACAAGGCGAAGGTTGGTTATTTGCTGCGACGTGGCTCCTCTTTGGGCCACCTGTCATGGTCCGGGTCCTCAGGGCGGGCGAGGCCACGACGTCCCTCGCCTCGACCGGATCTGAGGCATCGGCAGATGTGCTTTTGGGCTTAGACTTGGCCAGCATCACTGACAAGGCAGATGTTGGTATTGGCGAGATTTGATCCATTGTGATCCTCTTTCAGGTCGGAGAAGCTATGGGAATAGGTCGCTTGGAGTTCGGCATTCGCCTGGCAGGCATGCAAGTTTTGACATGTTTGGAGAATACGTGTTCCAAAAGCAAGATCCCTCAAATATGTTCAAAGATCAGCAATAGGTGTCAGCTTTTGCTGCGAAATCTGAAGGCCTTAGGTTTGGTCATTTTCTGCCACCTACCCAAAGCGCCCAGTATGCCTTTCCTCTTGGCTGCCTTGCGGTAATCAACTATCATGTATTGCCACAAGTTGCACATTGTATGCTCAGAGTTTTTTTGGGGCAGGCATGGTTGCGATTAGCTTTGCCGTCCAAAACCCAGAATGAGCTCCGCAATCTTGCTGATGTCATGACAATGGCGACCCTTTGGCCGTTGTCATAACGTTCTTGCTACAGAAAGAAGCATTCTTTTTCTGAAACGGGTGTGCAAAAACGCATGTGTGTAAAATGTTAACAGCTATGCACCCGCTCTCCGTTTGTCACCGACTTCACAGATTCCACACCCAATACATCATGAGTCATGAGATGTTCGATGCTGTCCTTTCAAACTGCGAGGGAGCGGACCACCAGCTGAACTTTCACTAAACTAAACTTTAACAAGAAGCTATTAAAAACATCAAAATAATAGCAAACAGTGTTACTAGTAAGGCACTTGTTCCTAATAGCTTCTTGTTCATAATGCTGCCGTGCCGTGGCAGAAAAGACACAAGCACATCCAGAAAGTTTGAACATCAAGATTTGTCAACGTGGCGAACGGGTGACGTGTGCAACAATGAACCTGCCGAATACAAAACCTGAAAATTCTGCCACGGCGCCGAAAAGGTGAGCATAGCGAGCGACAAGGGCATCACATTTTGAAAAGCTTGCACGTGAAATGCGTAGAAGGTGGCGCTTCCCGTAACATCCGTTTAAACAGGTGGCGCTGGCCTGTCTTGTCGCACAAGCCAGCCAGACTGAGGTAGAGCGAGAACCTGACCTTCGAGCTGCAATAGGAGTGCGACAATTAGGTCCACTGTATAGATGCCACCTGGCAGCGTGTGCCACGCCGTGTGCCACGCCGTGTGCCATGAGTTCTTTATTCGTTTTTCTCAAGATGGCGGTGCACTTCGTCCTCCGCCTTCGCTCGAAAAGACAGAGAGCACATCGTTAGGGTCTTCCTTCCCGGCGTCCCGACGAACGGAGGTGACTCGTGTTCGTCATCCTAAGCTCGTCACGTCACCGGGAGCGCGTGCAACGCGTTACTCGTAGAAACAATGTTCGCTACTAGGAACAAGTGCATCGCTTCTAGTAACAAGTGCCTTACTAGTAGTAACAAGAAGCTAGTAGAAACAAGAAGCTACTAGTAACAAGTGCATCGCTTCTAGTAACAAGTGCCTTACTAGTAGTAACAAGGTTCGCTATTAGAAACAAGAAGCTACTAGGAACAAGTGCATCGCCAAGTCGTCTTGGTCCCGTCACTGGACGCCTCGAGAAGTGGCCAAGATGGCAGACGGAAGAGAGACGACCACAAGTGTTTCGGGAGTAGGGACTCCCGAACAACCATTTAACGAAGAACGTGTGGACTTATCAGTGTAAAACCCGACCAGCTCAGCTCAAGTCTAAGGGCGGCTAGGCCAGAGTTTTGCTTGGCATTGCTGATGGATTCTCAGGCTGTTTTCCAGGTCCACTTGGCCAATGCTGGTGATGATAATGATTTCCTAGGGAAGAAGCACATCTGAAGCGTCTAAGGTGTACGGATGGTCGTTGACAATCTCTTCTGCTCTTCTTTGCAGGCAAGTCGATTTTTTCCGCAACAAACCATCAATCGAACAATCGAAAGGATGGAACGGGAGCGGGCAGGTTCAAGAGCAGGAACCACTTTTGTTTGCGCTTCACGTTATTGGGTCGTCTAAGCCAACTGAGCTTGCAAAAAATGAACTGTTCAGAAGAATAAGTACATGGTTCAAAAGCATTCAAAAGCGCTAGTAATTCTTGGTACTTCTGCCATTGGTGAACTTACGTTGATTGTCGCGTCGACAACCATGTGGGGGCCTGGGCAATTGGTTTGCAACACACGGGGGTCTTTGAGGAAGATTTGCAACACTTTGTCATAGAAACAATGTTCGCTACTAGGAACAAGTGCATCGCTTCTAGTAACAAGTGCTTTGGGTTTCGTGGCGCGTATTAGCACGCGCCTTTTTCCCGTGTTCCTTTTTTTCTGCCCGATCGAAACTGGCTTTAGCACGCTGGAAGGTTCATTCGCGGCTCGCGTAGCCGGAATTCTTGGTTCTTCCAGGCAAGGGGCTTAGAATTGAACATGTTCTTGGGCACTTTCTGGTCACAGCCGACACATTCTTTGGATCATCGCGTTCTACGATTTCCACATCATTAAGGTCCGTCGTGTGGTCTTGAGGCCTCGTGATTTGCCGCATTGAACTCATTTATTGAACAATACATCGTAGGCAGGCAAAGACTTTTTTACATTGCGTTGGCAGAAGCGGGTGACTTTTGCGCGAAGACACGAAGATACCAAGACACGCGAAGACACGAAGAGGCTTCAGGTCTTCAAGGCTTTCAGGTCGTCACCAGGCTTCAGGTCTTCAAGGCTTCAGGACGTCACCAGGCTTCAGGTCGTCAGCAGGGTTCAAGGCTTCATGTCTTCAGAGGAAAGTCACCCGGGATTGCCAACGCACTGCTTTTAATAGAAACAGATTATTGTTGCGGCTGTTGTCATTGCATTGCCTTGCAAATTGCTGGTTTCTTGCTGTGCAAGAGGCTCACCTTTTTCCGTTACCCTGCGCAGCTTTCCGGAACGTGGGTGTTATTCTCGGAAGTCTCAGGTGGTTGCCGTGAGATGGACTTTTGTACATCCAGCCTTGAATTCAATTTCTGGCTAACAGGAAATGGGTTTCCGTTCTCAGGCGATGTCGGCCTACTTGTCACTGCTGGGCAGCCGTTGTTCGCTTTATGCAACGGTGGCCGTCACAGAGCCGCCCCTGGAGCCACGGAAGCTTCACGTGGCCAAGGTGTCGAAGATAAAGAAAGAGTTGCAGCCCTTTGGAATCAAAAAAATAAAGACCGCTTGTAGAATCCCGTTTACCCTCAGGGCGCTTTGCTGCTGAGCCACCAGGCTTTGGGAGAGTGCGAGGCCGTTCACTTGAATCTCAGCTCAAAAAACGCCTATTCTTCACTTATCAAAGGCATGCAAATATGTGTTATTTGATAACACTCATCAACTTGTATATGATCAGGTTGGGCAGGGAGCCATTGTCGCCGCAGACGCAGTCATGCTGCCACACTCAGTTGTCATTTCCTGAGACCGCTTTTACTAGAGCGAACCGCGGAGCGAAGCTAAAGGAAGCACTGAAAATGCTGAAGACAATAGACTCTTTAAGAAAAATATTTCAAAACCTAATAGCTATGGCCTCCAACCCACCAGCAATCTACTAGCGATGGCCTCCACCCTTCCAGCGATGGCCTCCAACCTGCCAGTCAGACACAACGCGGAGAGAAGGAATGATAGAGCAGAATAAAAGTCAAAAGGATTCCAAAAAATCAAAAAACCAGTACCTTCCTTGAATTGTTAAGCCCAATTTGTTCAATGTGTCCTTCTAATTGTTTAGCAGCTTTCTCAGGTTGAGGCCAGAGGCACTGTAGGCGCCATGAGCGTGGCCGGACGACCCGTTCGATCCGATTTGCAGCTGGTGGGCCTGGGGCTCAGAACCCATTTTTGCATTTTGCTAACACGTTTTTTGGCTACTAGGAACAAATGCATCGCTACTAGTAACAAGAAAGCTAGCAGTAACAAGAAAGCTAGTAGTAACAAGTGCATCGCTACTAGGAACAAGTGCCTTACTAGTAGTAACAAGATGTAGTAATTAGAATTAAGTTTAATGAGTAACAATAAGAATTACATTAAGTTAAATTAGAATTAAATGTTTTCCATGTTTCTATGTGGTTTTTCCTTGCTCCTAGTAACGATGCCAGGAGCCCCTAGTAGCGTCCTTCACAACGTGCAATGTGTTTTTCTTTTGTTGGACCTTCCTGTCCTTCCGATGCATTGTGCACAATATATGCAAGGCATTGATGCATTTCTAACTTTTCTGCCCTGTTTTCCTTCTCAGATTCGTTCTGCCTTTTTTCGGCATGGACCCCATTTTGAGAACCAAAGCATACTTGTCTCGTTCTGTCACTGCCCGAATCATAAATGAATAAGTATATATAATAGATATGAGATATGATAAAATGTAAAAAGATAGTGCTAGCGGGCAATGTCCTTGGTGCGGACGGCTCCCCAAGTCGCGAAGGGCTGGCTCAAGGATCACAGTTTCGTTCAGAGCCGAAAAGTTAGGTTCAGTTCGGTTCGGAACTAGCATTCCAAGCCCCAAAGGGGCTACCCAGCTAAGTAGCTCTCAACTACCCAGCTAAGTAGCAATCATTGCTTGACTTCGTCAAGGCAATCCGGGTGTGATCATGCGACGTGGCACCTTGAGCAAAACACCTGCCACGAGTTGGGGCTGGCGTTGGTTGCGGGCGTAGTGCGCTCAGAGGGTGCCTCACCATGTTACTAAGGCACTTGTTACTACTAGTAAGGCACTTGTTACTAGTAGCGATGCACTTGTTTCTACTAGCTTCTTGTTGCTACTAGTAAGGCACTTGTTACTACTAGTAAGGGGGAAAAAAGCGAAACGTGTTCCGAGTTGCCAAACTCAGCGATGCGCCCTCCGAGGATTGTTTGCCTTCTCTACCCGCTTTTGGCGCCGGGCCTCTTGCAGTTGCTGCTTCTCATCACTTTGCTCCCTGCAATGTGACCCGTAGTTGGCATCCTTGACGTCCTGCAAGTAAAGCATGAGTCAGACTTTTGCGCTGGACTCGACCTTTTCCCCAATGCTGTTGCTACTTCACGTTGCAGTAGAGTTGGTGTTACGCTAATTGAAGTCGCATAGGAACGCTGAAAAGGCTTGTTGATTTCACCGTGTACCCGCTTTTCGAAAAGCACTGGTCGAGACTTGAGAATTGGTGAAACGGAGCCGCCACAAGTCGGTTGGACTGAAATGACTGGAAAGTCACTGTCACAATTCAGAATCCTTCCGTGTTTTTTCTTGTCAAACCTTGGTTTCTGTCAAATCACCTTGTTTTTGGTGATCACATTTACTGAAGCCACCCAAGCTTGGGCCACGCCGAGTTGGTTTGGTCACTGACCTTTTTTTTGGTAGCAAAACAACGCACTGAAGACTCACATCGCAGGTGGTGAAACTGTGAACTTCGTCGTTCTCAAAATAACACGATTTTTTCTCAATGATAGGAGAGGAGAGAAATGATTGCCCGCACTACCCAAAATGATTTGAACCTGCTGACTTACCCCGTAATTCCTGGATACAGGGAGTAAGACCAAGTAAGCAAGAAAGATTGAGCGCAACATGTGCCTCACATGAGATCCCATCTCGGAAGCTGAACGCGGTTGTGCTGGGCTTTGTGCCGTCAAGGTTGTCATCCTGCAGAATAAATTCAATCCATCGCTACTAGGGTGGAGGGCATTCCTATCATCCTTTTGCTAGGTTGGAGGCCATCAGGTGAATCATGGCGAAACTTCTCGTGTACAACTGAAGTGCCTTTGACGATTGAGACGCACGATCACACAACTGACTCAGTTGTCAGAGCACACCCCATTATGACTCGACGTACGAGCCCAAAATCTGAATTTAAAGACATGAAAACAGTTGACAAATGTTTTGAACAATTTTTTTCTTGATCCTCACAGATCTTGACAAGTTCGAACTGCTGGCCAAAACATACGACACATCCAGTCAAGAAGGGCCCAACACACTGACCGATTCAACTGGCTGTTAGCAATTAGCTTGACAGACAGAGCGGAATGCCAAGCACAAAGCACCAAAGCACAAAGCTGCCTTGGCATCATGTTTGTCAAACTTTCCGCATGGTATCCCGCACGGTGTTTGCTTCCATCGCAGACCCAGACTTTAGATGGAAGTAGCATGAAGTAGCAGATTTGCGAAGACGTACCGTAGTTGTTCGACACATGGATCTAATGTTGCAAGGTCCGTCCACAATGTTGAGTCCTACCTTCGGCGAAGACTGGACCATCACTGAACCTCAACTTTCGAACTGTCCGATATGTTTCCGCTTCTCTTCCAATCTGGAGGCTTCAGGGAAATTGGCAAAGATAAACCAAAAGCTTGCTCAATCCCGCAGCAACCTCCTCTTGACCAGGTTCGTGATTACTGATTTGACAAACTTCGGGGGCTCCAGTGACATATTCTACAGCAGGCACACGACAGTTCGTCGAAAGGCAAAACAAATCACGCCTAGGCGTTGCGCTTCTACCCCCTCCTTGGCCGATTAGTGCGCTTCTAACGGCTACTTCTGGCTTCAGGTTCTGACAGCACACGGAACAAGAAGCTACGAACGGAGCAAAGGGCATCGCTACGAACGGAGCAAGGACGCTACTAGGGGCTCTTGGCATCGCTACTAGTGACAAGAAGCTACTAGGGGCTCCTGTCCGCACTACTAGGGGCTATTCCTGAACCTGGTCAGCTCCGTTCTTGCAGTTCACCCGAGTGCCGCCCGAGCGCAGACAGTTGGGGGGTCGCTTGGGGAGACCATTTTGCGGTGGACAAGCGATTTTAATGTCTTGGGTGGAGATGTCGCTGCGTCATGCGGTTGTGCGCGGCCACGGTGGAAAGTGCGTTTGCGTGAGTCCGTGTCATTGGGGGAAGGGAAGCATGCTGGTGTAACCGCGGTGTGTCGCTGGGGAGCGGGATGATTGGCGGCGTCCACGAGTCTCATCTAAATTCTAACAGCTTCTTGTTACTACTAGTAAGGCACCTGTTTCTAGTAGCGTGGCACTTGTTTCTAATAGCTTCTTGTTACTACTAGTAAGGCACCTGTTTCTAGTAGCGTGGCACTTGTTCCTAGTAGCTTCTTGTTACTACTAGTAACAACTCTAGAAACGTGCGAGCTGCACGTATACTTGTACCATATTGTAACATACATCTCTTACTACGCACACCCTCCTCTACATAACCTTCCCTCCCACGCTCCCCGACAATCCAGGGTTCGGCTCTTTTCCGTGGTCCCCGTGGTCGCCCACATACTTGGTGGTCACCCCCAAACTGCCCACACACAACTCGCAACGTATCAGACCTGTAAGCCATGGCAATCCTCAGATCACAGAGAAATGCATGTAGGCTCGGCGTGCTCGGAAAAGTCCCGGCTGCGTACAGATGTAAGGGCTTGTAGCGATCGACCAGCCATTCCATTGTGGCCCAGGCCCCCCGCCCCTCCACCGTGGCAATCCTTGGATCCGTAAGTTGTGAATTGTAGCCATCGACATATCATTCCATCCCGCCTCCCGCACCCCCCACCTGCCAATTGAGTGTGTGAAGCAAAGATCGACGTGTCAAGGAGATATGGAAGAGACCCCTGGTGCGGCAGTGATTTATGGCAGTGGAATCGTTGTGCTTGATTCATTTTGGCAATCATGGTCCCCCCACCCCTGGTAAACCGAACCTGTCGGCACTGAGAGGGGCCCCCCAAATTCAAACCTTACTTACAAGCACACTGTACTAGTATTATACACTTGGACTCCAGGTACTTGCTGACCATTGTGCTGGCCACCTTTACTAAAACCGACGGGGTCCTGAGCGCCTCGGCCTACCATTTGGGTCGTGCTAGCCGCCTTCGCTAAGTTTTTCCAGCTCAGGTTCATTGGCGTTGGTCGAACTCTCAAATTTGCTCGCTTGGCACGTCAAAACTCAAAAAATTCATTTGGTTTTGTTCTTTGAGGCCGGAAGTTTACCCTTGGCGTACATCGCGTTGGGTTGGTGTTTGTGCCTTGTGGTCTGGGCCACCAGCGCCGGCACCAAACGTGTGGCCGACGTGTGGCACCACGAGGCTGTGCTGCTGAAGTGGCTTTTGCCGACTCAGTCGAGAAGCTGGCGATGGCGGGGGGCGGAAAGGGAAGGAAACCACGCTAGGTACGAGGCCATCGCTAATTAGGTTGGAGGCCATCACTTTGAAGATTTCACTGCGTTTAGCGGTGGTTGGACACAGTAATATGTCGCAACTAACTAGCGTTTTTGGAGGCATGGGTCTCCAAGAGTCCACGTGGCCATGCCAGAAACTTACTTATTTGCAACCTAATGACCCAAGCATGCAGAACTGCAGAACTCTTCTGAACCGTTCATGTTGGTGCGCATGTTGCGTGCATGGTCTGCACACATTCGTTGTATTGAGGTTTTCCCAGCAGCTGAATTCTATGTGCATCTCTGTGTTCATGAGCCCGGAACGCAGCACCAGTAAGTGTCCTGTTTGCGAGAAGGTTTGGAAACACATAGAAAACCATTCAAGCCGTTTCAAGCATGTTTTTTCACAACGTGTGCTTTGAGGCATGGCTTTGGGCTCTCCATGTTACAATTGGTGGCTGAAACTCATGGGCGCTCGGATCGCCTCGGATGCGGTGCTTTTGCCGGGTCTTCCAAGAGCGAAAGAGTCGATGTTGAAACGGTGCAGAAGACATACCAGCCCTATCCGGCATCATCGAAAGACATTAAAGGAACCCAATAGCAATGGCTTCCCAGCCGCCTTCGTTTGCTCAGGACGTCAATAGTTGGTGATCATGAGATGCTCACCGTTGGAAAGGGTGCAATAGTGGATAAAGAGGCCTGGCTTTAAGGAGATTGACTGCTTTGTTTCCCTCCACTTTTTCGAGGAACCTTTTTCTTTAGCTCTCCGAAATTCACAAGAAGGAATGCACCAATCAGCATTTTGTCGAACAGTTGAGCCGTGGTCAAAAGCTTTTGCAGCAAAACATAATGAAAGCGTAGCTAGCTCCGTTGTTCTTGCTTTAAGCCACTGCCGGCCCGGTTCCAACTCAGTGATATCATCATCAAACCCACTCCCTCTCAGTCATCTACATCGATAAGATAGCGTTAGGCTGGCCGCTACGATTATAAGTATAAGTTCAGTATCAAAATTATGCACTTGAACCAGGTACACACTTTGATACTCTTGCAACTGGTTGCTGCAGCTTTAGTTTACTCCTGCCGGCCTCAAGTAGTTCAGGCATTTCTTTCGAGCACACGATTGCTGCCCAGCCTCCTGACTGAATGTAGAAAGGGCGTGGGCAACTCCAAGCGGCCTCCACCCTACCAGCGGCCTCCAACCTAGTAGCGTCCTTGTTCCTAGTAGCAATGCCCTTTGCTACTAGTAGCGAACATTGCTCCTAGTAGTAAGGCCAGGACCCCCTAGTAGCTTCCTTGCTCCTAGTAGCACCTAAAGAACACCGTGATTCTTGAGACCCGAGCTTCAAGGCAAAGAGCGACCACGCCAACACTTTGAGCCTGCCACCAAGAGCAATGAAGCACTCGCATTCAATCAAATCCACGAAAGACAAAATGAAAGAAACAAAGGCCTAAAGAAAAACAGGAACAAAGGTAATTAAATTTAAAGGTCAATACAAAGTCAGTATATAATGAAGTGTGTGTTGCGTCATGTGCTTTTTAATCGGCACACCTCAAGGTTTTGCACCTGCAACAATCCCGTGATCATTGGCATGGGCAGCACTGTATGAATCCCAAGACATGAGAGGCACACGAAAGAAGCAGGCGCTTTCGCTAAGAAGTCAAGAAACCACGAACTTGGTCCGAGGTGTCCCATGCGGCAGCCGTCGTTGCCGGAGAAACAGGCCTCACTGCCGCTACAGCCGATTTCGTCACACTGCAGCTTTGCAGCTTTTCCTTCGCGGACGCTTTGTGTCGCTCCAGCTTTGAGGGAGGTTCCCCCGTTTTTGTGTCGCTTTACCTTGCCCCACCCGTGCCACTGAATCTCAACATGTCCACTTCTACATAGCTGCGCATGGCGGCCGCTTTTTGACCTAACGCTGTGTAGCGGCTGATCGAACCAGAGGCGGTGTTCATCGACAAAAATTGTCAATAGACTCTTTGGACCAAAACAGGGAAGGTGGCAGAAGATTAGGAATTTACCTCACTGCCCCAAGGCAAGGTATAGCATAGCATAGCCTGGGTGTCCGGAAACGATGCGTTGTATCGAGAGCCCGCCGTGTCAGGAAACTGTAAACCAGACGGTTTGTGGCACGAACCGTTCCGGAAACGGCTTGCATGTCATGTGCCGAGAAACCAGGAGAGTTATGTTTGAATGCCCACATGCTGGGGCCAAACCAATTAAATCATATGTTTGTAGCAGGGAGTGGATGCAATGTGCAGATTTCGTGTCACGGGTGAGGCAAGGTGCGATCCCCAAAGCAGAAAGATGAGCCAAGATCAAAAAGAAGGCCTAAGAGCGGCCTTCAAAAGAGAGCCAAAATACACAGGAAAACAAGTTTTTGGACTTGGCAGGGGCTACGGCCGAGAGCTGAAGGGCAGCGCTCTTGGGCATGCGCGCCCAAAGGTTTATATTTCTATAAGATCTAGACTAGTTCCTAGTGGCTTCTTGTTACTACTAGTATGTTTTTTTCCATGAGTTGGTTACCTGAGTCTCTCTACCTCTTTGACTTCCTTCTCCCTTTGCGCAGAGTGCGCTCCACGTGGTTTGGCACCTCTTTTGGGCATGGCTTCCCCAACTTGACGGAGCGTGCCCTATGCGGCCCCCCGTTTACAAGATACGGAATAAACATCTTTCCGGTTTCTTGACTGGTACTTTGCTTGACCCCTTCTAGACACGCCGTTGGTGGGTCGTGAAAATGAGGGTTGGTCGAGGAAAAGAGACGTTGGGCATGGGCCGATTAGCCGTGAGGAAATTTCAGCGTACTGGCACCACTATCAGCTGCCTGGCTCTCAAAAGCTCTGCAACAGAAGGCGCCGAAGCATGAGAGTTCGAGGCACATGTTAGAAATCAAATGAGAGTTGTTTTTGTAGGTTGGAGGCCGTCGCTAGATTCCAAAGCTTTAAAGGTTGTCATTCTTCGAGCATGCCTTACAAAGTGGTCGCTCCTCAAGGTCGGTCCCTCTGCACGCTTGCCGGCCCAAACCTTGGCAGTAGGCCGAGTGAGAACGATCTGGAGACAAACTTCGAAAGAAAAGAATAAAACATGTAAAAAATTAAGAAAAGGAAAATAAAAAAAATAAGATCAAACAGAAAAATGCCAACGGAATCCCGGCAGGTTTACCACCACAGGTCCGAAGCCAAGTTCGACCCGTGTTGGTCTTCAACCGTGGTCGTCCGAGCGCTCCGAGGCCTTCGTTTGTTCCGTTCGTAGCGTCCGATCGCTCCGTTCGTAAGGCCAGAAGCCCCCCGTTCGCGTTTTTGTGCCCCGTTTTTGTTCCTAGTAGCGATGCCCCTTGCTCCTGTTACTAGTAAGGCACCTGTTACTGCTAGCGATGCCCCTTGCTCCTAGTAGCTTCTTGTTACTACTAGTAAGGCACCTGTTACTACTAGCGATGCCCCTTGCTCCTAGTAGCTTCTTGTTACTACTAGTAAGGCACCTGTTAC